ACAAACTATGAATATCTTTTTAACTATGAAAAATATTATTAGTATTATTTAAAGATTTTATATAGAAGTTTAGGGGTTCCCTTTGTATCTCTCTGATATAGCTTATCTCTGACTGTCAATGATCTATATGTATACATATGTTTAAATGAAGAAAACATAACACACACAAACAAACATGATGCATGGATCTGTGGATTGATATATATATATATTTTTTTTTTTTTTTTTTTTTTTTACTGATTTTGAATATTAATAATCAATAATAAATTCATAAATATGAAGAAATCGTAAGTTTTCTTTGGTGCTGGAACTGACTTTGTACCGTTTTCTATGTAAATCTATACAAAGTTTTGCGCACAATTTTTAATAGCATTATTACAAAAGTCTTACAAAATTTTCAGAGTGACCATGGCAAACATTATCTATGTTACCTATATGAATATAAATCTATGTGATATTTTGCTGATTTCTGAAAAAAAAAATGTGTTATTAATCCTTTAAGGCCACGCAGTTTATCAGCTCTCGCTGTAAAGATGTTTGTTTACTAAATAGCATATTCAATGTAATCAGTGACTTTAGTAATTAAAGACAATAGTGCAGAAAAAAAAAATCATGTGTTCGTAAATGATGAATGAAAACATATCCGGAACTGTTGGTGTTCTTTTCTGAAAATAATTGCAGGTTTGCAAAATATATACATAACACCGAGTACGAGAGGTCTTTACATTAATTTTAAACAACGGGTATTATAAGGCTCATTTCAAGGTCCTTGTTCTTAAAATTAAATCGAAAATCGATGAAATATATTTATCTCACTAAAGAGACAGCCCTGCTCGTCGATCTAGATATAGTCTTTATTAGTTTGCAAGAAATTGATCCGTTTAATTTACAACATGAAAAAAAGTAATAATAGTGATAATACCAAAAGATAATTGATAAAATATATATATATTATGTAACTTTTGGCTATTAGTTACAGTGTGTCAATACATATAATTAACAAATAGCTTGTTTCGATAAAAAGCATGTTAAATATTTATTCTTCTTTGAAGCTTTTTTGAAGAGTATAATATGCATAAAGAATAACAATAGAAAGGAGAGGGCTAAAATAGCCCGTGCTTGTTCCCCAGTCCATTCACTTTTTGTGAATAAAATTATGTACAATACGAAATCAATAGAAGAAAAATAATTATAGGAACTGTTTTCAATTTCTAGAGGCCATGTTTATAAATATTTCAATTTAAGTTGAAATGTTATATTAACTCTATTACAGTGTAGTCAATGTTTACAAATGTGCTGATTCACATAGCAGAAATTTTTGCATCTGACATGAGGCAAGGTCTTATAAAAATCACCATGTTTCTGAATTTCAAATGATATATTATCTCCAGGCTACTTGGATTTACCGAACATGAAAGAAAGATGTATCACATCATTGATGGGATGTACATGTTTTCTTAAAGTCTGATTCATGAGCAGAAACATATGAATTTTCATAAACAAAAATGATATTTTTAGTCTTAGTTATGTTTTCATTTTCGGCAACCCGTGATTATCCCAACAATTATATAAATGTTAAATGAAAATGAGTTTCCAGACAGTTCAATTCGTACAGACACCTATAATCTGAAAAAAAATCTAGTAAACTATGTGATTTCTATTTGAATCACATTATAATGATTTCTGTTAATATTTTCGGTCTTCTTTTGTAAAAATCACCCTCCTGTTTCTTAGACAAACTAAAATGAACTCTTAAAGTGATGGGTGACTCGAAAAAAACAGGCTTCTCATTTATCATACGCTTACACACAACATTCCAGTCTTCTGACAAGTTGTCTAAGAATATCCGTATGTTTGATGTTACATGCATATACAAGGGTATATAACTTATTTTCTTGATTACCTGTAACCTATAACATTATTTCTACATGTAGCTAAAATTGCATAGGTATCTGTTTATTTCTAACACGTGCAATATTCTAAGATAAAATTTATTAATGCCAGTTAACTACCTCAGATTGTTTGAAACAGCAGGAGTGATGAAACGGATTAAAATTTTAAATATGATAGAATTTCATGGAATGGTCAAAAAATTCTTTTAAAATGTGTATAACTTGTATTGGTCCGTCTTTAGAAAATCAGACTAGACTAAGTTATAAACTTATTCCTGTTCTTTGATAATTCCGGGGTTTGACATGGGTGATAATCTTAAAGAAGGACTTGTTTTGCAAGAGTACTTCTGCTCACAAAGGTTGAATTTACATCGAATTTCGCTTTTTATTTTTCTGTTTAACATATAAGTTAGGTTGTAATTGACAATCACATTGGTAATATGTTTTAAGTATTCATTTTGACTTCTTTCCCACTCAAAAGTAACCCATTTTTAACGAGTTTTCCTAACGACACTATACCCGAAGTTGTTAACTGACGACATAATAAGTGTCTTGCTCTCCCTTTTGCCTAAAGTAATGTAAAGACACTTTTCATTAATATTTTTATAGAGATATACAAGCCAGGAATACTACTCTTATAGGCTTTGGATCCGTTCCCAAGAAACTATCTACTTTTTCGATCCATATATTTCGTATCCATGTTTCAAGTTTTTTTTTATTGTAAAAGTGTATGTACGTGAAAGGTAGCATATTTGTACTAGATACATGTATGGATTATAAATATTGACTTTATTAACCATTTTTTATATCAAGGAATGATTCTTAAATAAAAAAAAATACCCGGAATCTCAATTGGAAGGCTTTCATAAAAAGTGCAATCCGTTTTTAGGTCACCTGACTCACTCAGGTGACCTATTGCTATCCGTGATCGTGCGTCGTATGTTGGTTGTGAACTTTTCAACTACTTCTTTGGAACTGCCGAGCCATTTTTAACCAATCATCTATGGCTAAATGGAAGCAAAAAATGTAAATTTCATGGTTCCTGCCATCCTGGAGCCTGAGGGGTGGGGCTAAAACAATCAAAATTAATGCAATTTAAAAATCTCCTTCTTTCCTCCTAGACATCAAGTATTCAAACTGTTGGCATGGCTATAATGGTTATAAAGGGCAATGAGTACTTTACCAAAAATATGAAATTCATGGCCCCACCGTCAGGGGTTCTGGAAATAAGGTGGGGTTCTTTTGATCATATAGTGAGAATGTATAAAAATTCGAAAAATATTTCTTCTTGTCCCATGTAAATAAAGCAGATAAAATAAATAAATGATTATGATGAACAAAGGTGTCTCTTCAAATATTGTAAAAATTGTGTCCAAAGGGTCAGGTATTTGGTGATGGGGTGGGGTGGTCTATTGATTTCATATTGTAAAATAATGCATTTCTTTGAAAATCTTCTCGCTACTCGGTATTAAGCAAACAAACTAAGTGCTATGTTATGATGAGCACGGGAACCTCTTTCAAAATTGTGAATTTCATGCCCGTTGGGTCGGGTTTTCTAAGGGTTTTAATGTAAGGGCGGGGATCTATTGATTATACAGCAAAAATACATTTTATGTGGAAATCCTAATAGCACATTGGTATCAAGCAAAAAAAGTGCAAAGTTATGATGAGGAAGGGTGCCCCACGCAAAATTGTGGATTTCATGACCCCTTGGTCAAGGGTTTTTTGGTGTTAGGGTGGGGCTGTACTAATTATATATTGAAAATGTATTAATGCTTTGAAAATCGCCTTCTCTTCTCTTGAACATTGAGCAAAAAACTAAGAGCAGGGTTATGATGAACAAGGATTTCTTCCTTAATTTTGAAATTCATGTCCCCTAGTTCAGGTGTTCTGTCATTAGGGTGGATTCTCTTGAGTATATTGAAAATTCATTCATGCTTTGAAAATCTTCTCTACTCGTGGACATCTAGAAGGCAAGCAAAATAAGGAAGACTAAAATACTGATAAGAAGAAATGGGAACCAAAAAAATATTTTCCTAAACTACTTTGATATACATATTTTAAAACGAGCATCCTACGTTCGCTGTTCAAGAATTCACATATGCTCAAAAATTCTCTTCTAACAAGTAATCGTATCATACGTTTCAAGAAGAAACAAACAATCAGAGAACGATTGATTTATATGGTTATATACGTATAACATGCCCGAAAAGAAATTGTCCATAAAATAATAGAAATTGTATGTAATGATAATATTTGCAAGTAATGGTGCTATCTTTTATTGTAATACTAAATTAATCTCTTTTTGTTTGTTTATCTATATATTTAGGTGACAAAAACAGAAGAAATGGTATGGCAGTTAAAATGTATTTCAATAACGTATGGACATTGAAACATTGCTGATATTGAAAGGCAAGGAAATGGCATCATCACTTCCTTTTGCACAGGACGTCATCCGATGTTCTGTTTGTGTTAATGCGGCCGACTATTACTGTAAACCATGCAACGCTAAACTATGCAGCGAATGCAAATCTAAACATTTATCCGACAAAGGAAAAATACATGAAGTTGTAGGGTTTAACAGCGAAATTGACACAATAAAAAGGCATGAATGTGTTTCGCACAAGTCAAATAATTGTGAAATATTCTGCAGAAATTGTAAAATCCCGGTCTGCTCAAAATGCGTTGTTGGAGTTCACAGGCAACATGATTTTACAGACCTTGACGATTTTCTAGAGGAAAAGAGGCAGGGTATTCTTGAAGATATAAACGAAATTGAAAGTTTTCTTCAACTTAAACTCCAAAAACAGAAAGATATTATCCACGAAGAAAAAACCAAGAATACGATTGAAGTCATTTCGGCTCAGGAAGATATCATTTGTAAAGCTGTTCTAGATTTTGGGAACAAACTTAGAGAAAAAGTAACACAACACAAAACAGAAATTCAAGAAAAGGAAAACGAAAATACCCCCGCCGAACAAAACATCCTTAAAGTCCTTTATGAAACAAAATTATTGCTTGAAAGCAGAGAAACTAAATGCATCTTAGAATACAATGGAATAAAACCAGAATTGATGAATGTCCCTCATTCATTAGATTATTGTATGCCTATTCTTGATGTCAAAACACTAACAGAAGAGGACATCGCTTCATTATTTGGAACTCTAGTGATCAAGAAAGTTACCAAAGAAAATGAGGTTTTCATCATATGAGAACTTTTTGAATTGAAAGAATAGTTTATCTTTCATTATGTTATTGAGTTAATAAATGTTTTCGACTGACTTTATATTGCTCAATAAACACATCCTTTGTGTACATCTTGAAGAAGTTACATTAAACATCATGTATTTCATTTATCAATTTGACTAACATTAAATTCTTTCTTCGACAGAATGAAAATGGTGACCTTGGAGGAAACTTGGAAGAAGAGCAGTGGTTCCATGGATTTATTCCCCGAGAAGAAGCAGATCCAATTTTTTAAGCAAGACGGCGATTTCTTGGTTCGCGTGTCAAAGAGTAAATCAGAAGATAAATGCAGTTATACTATTTCTGCTTTTCAAGAAAAACCGATGCATATCAAGATCTTACCCAGTGATGTTGTGGTAAGAATTCATTTCATATGTGGTATGTGATATATAACTAAAAATGCCAGTCTCATCATATGCTACCATATTTTGTAACTACTTAAGGTTTTCATTCATTTGATCCAATTATATCGAAATCTTTCGTTTAAAGCTACTTTATCTATATCCTTTTGCATAATGCGCTACGTATTAAATTTTGATATATATATTTTACCACAAATGCACAACTGTGAGTACCCAGTCTTAATTTAAAATATACTTTTGAAAGTTTTCCTGTTCAGATTTCGTAAAGCAGTTCTTTGTAAATATTTTATTCCAAAACTACATAGCCATCCAGCAATGCATGCAAGTTTGTTTCGGTAGAAGTCGAGCAGGTGCTTGAAAATCAAGTGCAAGGCCTAATCACTGAATCTCCCTCCCCAAGTACAGTATAGAAAAAAATCATAACGCCCTATACGAGGGTTATGCAAAACTTTCGTAGACAAAACTAATGCTATAATTTTCTCGATAATGACCACACTGCCAACTGTGTACCATAAAGTAAAATACGCTTATAACGAAGTGCCAGGAACAGACGATTTTACTTCGTTTTAAAATTTGTTCGTTATAGTTATACAGTAAAGCACGCCTTTAGCAATCATAATGAATTGATGCTTTCAACTAAGTGATTTTCATGCCCAGTGACTATAAATGTACTTCTGTACTTCTATTCTGTTAACGTAACAGATATAAGGACTTAAAGCGAAGCAAAATCGTCCATACCTAGCACTTCCTTATAAGAAGTTCTACTGTATCTGTTTAATTATATATATTAAAGTGAATGAGGATTGAAAACATATCACTATAAGCGTCAATCCATTATACAATGTAAGCATCACCATCCTTTTGCAAATTAAATCAATAACTCAAAATTTAAAAAAAAAGGCAAGAGATTTCGTTACAATGGTAAACAATAACGTGGTTGCTTTGTCTTCCAGGAATAAATTCCAAAATTCAAACGCGTAATATGTTTAGAAAAACAAGCAGCAAACAACATTACGGAATCATTCTGTATTTGACCAAACTCGAAAACCTTGATAGGATACAACTCAGAGAGATCACACCCGATTGCCACTAAAAAAGTATAGAAGAAATGAACATCTTTCTTTCCGATTACATGCTTAATTTTGGTCTTTCCTCTTCCAGTTAATAAAATCTTATACATATGCGTCTTTCAATGATAGTCCTGAAAATCTATGTACATGTAATTTTCCCTATCTAAAATTATATCTTCCCTCAAATTCAGTTTTGCATCTTAAACCGAAATTCATAGTACCATCAATTTATGTTATAAATGAAAACATATTCGAAATCTCTAATGCCAATTATCATTAAATAATGCTTTTAAATATTTTTATTACAAACCATATGTCTCAGGATTATGAGACAGACCTAGATTTAAGTTTAATAATGAACTGTCTAAGATAATTATAAGATAAGCTCCAAATTTGTATCAGCATTGTATTCTTGCAATATTAATTTGGACTGCTTCACTTCTACATCATTTCAGCATTAAGATTTTGACTCGAGCTAAAGATATTTCATATTACTGGGGCCATTAAACCGCCTTTCTGGAATTTTTAGCTCACCAGAGCTGAAAGCGCAAGTGCACTTCTCTGATTACCAGTTGTTTGGCGTAAGTCAGACTGTCCGTCTGTCCATCCATCTTAAAGCTTTTCTCATTTTCAACTTCTTTTCAAGAACAACTTGGACAATTTAAACCAAGTTGGTACAAATATTCCCTGGGTAAAGGGGATCTTAATTGTTAAAATGAAGGGAAATCCCCCTTCCAAGGCGAGATAATCAGAAAAAAGGCAAAAATAGGGTGGGGTCACTAAAAAAAAACTTCTTCTCAAGAACCACTGAGCAAGAAAAGCTGGCACTTCCGTGGAAGCTTCTTCAGGTTGTGTAGATTCAAAATTGTTCTGATCATGGCCCCTGGGGTAGGGTGGACCTCAATGAGAATTGAAATATATAGAAAAAATCTTTTAAAATATTCTTCTCAAGAACCACCAGAAAAAATGAAACTGATATGAAAGCTTCCTAGGATAGTGTAGATTGTAAATTGTTCAAATCATGTCCCCTGGGGATGGTAGGACCACAAAAGGGCATCAAAGTTGTCATTGACTTGTAGGAAAAATCTTCTCAAGAGCCTACTGGACCAGAAAAGATGGCATTTAGGTGAAACCTCCCTGAGGGGTGTTGATTGTAAATTGTTCAGACCATGGCCCCTGGGGGTAGGGTGGGGCCGCAATAGGGAATCAAAGTTTTATATTGAAATGTATAGAAAAAATCTTTAAAATCTTCTTCTCAGGAACTGCTAAGCCAGAGAAGATGAAACTGATATGAAAGCTTTCTGAGGTAGTGTGGATTGTAGATTGTTCAGATCATGGTCCCCGGGGATAGGGTGGGGCCCTAGGAAATCAAATTTCTATTGAAATATATAGGTAAAATCTTTACAAATCTTCTTCTGAAAAACTACTGGATCAGAAAAGGTGAAACTGACGTTAAAGCTTACTGAAGTATGTAGATTGTAAATTGTTCAGATCATGGTCCCTGTGGGTAGGATGGGTCACAATAGGGGTCATATAGGGATATTTTTTTTTTTAAAAATCATCTTCTCAAGAACAGCAAAGCCATGATGACATATTAATTTAGAAGCATCCTCAGGTAGTGAAGATTTCATTTTGATCAAATCAAGACCCCCTGTTCAAAGTGGTTAAGTTGAGCCTTGTGGCCCATTAGTCTCGTGTCAAAATTTAGGTCTTACGTATCCACTTACACTCATTCTAGATAGCATTTACCTTATTTTTTCTACGATGTTTGATTTGGATAATATTGATAGCTGCAGTCAAAAAAAAATCAAATGGACAAAAGAAAGCTACAAAGTATACGCATTGAAATACATTTTAGAAGAAAGTCGGACCAAAGGGCACAATTGTAGACTTTGTGAATCACTTGAAGACAACGGGAGAAAAATTTTCATCAACAGAGCGTGCTTTGTTGGTAAACCCAATTGCTCGAGAAAGAATTCACCTCGAATACGACAAAATCTTTCTCGATTCAAAGAGTGAGATCGTAAGGATTTTTCACATATGCTTTATTTATTATTTAGCTTTTAACTACAAAATCAAAGATCCAAATGAAATACAAGTTTTATTATTTAAAGTTTTAACCTATAATATACGTGTCCTTAAAGCCAAATTTGTCTCCAATGACACAATTTAGGTTTTGGTTTACCAGTACCAATACATACTGCTAATTCCCAGAGGAATATCTCGTTGAATTTATTTTTATAACAAACATTAAAAACATGTTTATTACTTTTTCAGAATCTACAAAAATTCCCATCCCTTTTCCAAGGATCATATGATTCCAAGAAAGTTTTTATCCAGAAAGAACAAGAAGATTTGAAAGACGTTTTTAAAGATATCAATTTCTTACGAAAATTTAATCATCGAAATATCGTTAATATTATTGGTTTTTCAGCACTGCGGGAACCTGTTATACTTGTCATAGAATATCTTTCTGGTAATATCATACATATATCTTGGAACTATAAATTTTAATACAATTGACCAAAAATACATTTTACATATTGCAGATGTAAAACATAGAAACTCATGGATTGAAAAGTAAATTTAATATTAATGTGAAAAAATTACGTCAATTCATCAATTACGTTGCAATTTTTGTATATGCATTTTGATTACCTAATTTCTCTTATACCCTTTTTTGCATGATATGAGATGATACTAAAAATTCTTGGGTTAAGACTTTTCAAACACCACTAAAAAATTATTTGAAATTGTAAACTTTTCTATTCAGGTGGTTTGTTGACGTACTATTTAAGAAAGACAGGAGACTCTATAACTTCAAGAAAGAAAATGGAAATGTGTCAGGATGTTGCAAATGGAATGGCTTACTTACATCGCAACAAATGTATTCACAGGTAAATGTCACCATTTTGTGTTTGGATATTTGATGTTAGTGATGAACAATCTTTTCCCTGAGGTAAGGGGGCAAAAATGTTCAACCAACAGTTCTGACCTGTTCGGGCTGAAAACAATTGTGATAGACGATCAGAGAGCTATGTAAAGTGTTTTATTTACATGTATATTGAACAACAGGTGTGCACGATTTGAAAGTTTTATTTTACCTGGCATCTCATGAATAGCGAAATTTAAGTTACTTTTAGGAATACAGTATATATATATATATATATATATATATATATATATATATATATATATATATATATATATATATATATATATATATATATATATATATATATGGGTTGGCAATCGAATGCAGAATTGCCAATCGGTTAACCGCAAGATGTTCTGACCGATTAATCGTATCAAAAATTCTCGACGTATTTCATTATTGTATAAGTTCTACTCAAATAGACAGACTATAAAGATATATAGATAGATATATATATATGAAGTAGCATTATGTTTATCAGAACAATATATATATATTATTTCAAATTTAAAGCAAAACAAAAGAAAAGTAAAAAGAAGAAAAAATTAGAAACCCATGAAACATGCCTCAATAATCAGATACATTAAAAAAAAGTTCTGAAGAGATGGCCCAGAAGTTCAATATGCATTTTCACATGATCAAAACTAAGTCTGAACTATCGCTTAATTTATAATGTTTGTTTAATAATATAAGATAGAAACTACAAACGATAGAGTGGTTTGGTACACATTATAATCACTTCACGGTACTCAACGATCATTCAATTAAAATTTATCATTAAAGAAACACGGGACCGGCTGGGTAGCGACATTGTGTTTAAACAGCAATTAACATTTCGAAAGCTGACTAATTACCCCCACGATGTCAATTAAGAGAACTTTAATTATCTCCGGATCAGCCTAAGAAATAGATAAGTGAAAATGCTAAAATTTCATAAATTTTCATTCATATACTTTGATTGAATTTTCAGGATATTGTGTTAAAATTAACACATATATGAATTTTTTCCGACTAACCGGTTACAGATTGTCTAACCAATTACCAATGTTCCGACCGGGTAACCGGTTAACCGATTAAAAATTGACATCCCCAATATATATATATATATATATATATATATATATATATATATATATATATATATATATATATATATACATATATATATATATATATATATATATATATATATATATATATATATATTTCTGTGTGTGTGTTTGAGGGTGTGTTTGTGTGTAGGGTGTGCGGCGTGTGTGTTACAGTAAATATGTGTAATTAAGAATTTCATGTATTTCCTGGATTTTAGGAAATACTTGAAATTCCTAGTCTGCTTAGGAAATGCGTGCATTTACTGTTTTCAATTAGGATATACGTGTATTTACTGAATTTATAAAATACTTTTTACATCTATTTCCTGACTCTGTTTTTGGTGAGATAATTTAAAATTATGAATCATAAATATAAACATATGCACAGTAAATTCAGTTAATTATTTATTAAAATAAGATAAACTATATATGAATATCTTTGAAACCTACCGATAAAATCATCAGGAACTAGAGGTGTCAAGATAACAGTAATGCCTCCAACGGTAATGCAAATTTTAAATATGTGAAAGTCCAAGAGTGTTTAAAAACAATTGGGTGAAAAGTGACACAAAAATGAAACACATACTGATACACACTTTTTCCCTATATCTATATTTGCAAATGTTTTCTTTTATATAAACAATATTTAAGCAACACGTATCTATATCTGTATAAACACAGGTTTTTCACGTCATGAATAATCGACGTAATTTCTCAGTGACGTCATTAAGAGTTGACGCGCATTCAATGGATCAAACTTTAAAAAAATAAAACATTTCATGTCTTAAAGATTATTTTCAGGCAAATATATATTATGCAGAAGTCGCAAATGTAAATATAAGTAATAAGGTATCATTTTAAAACATCTATGGGGATAAAAATACGGGTTGGGGCTTTATTGAATTTGATCACATAACCAACTCGTATTTATATCTTGACAGATGTTTAAAAATGAAACCTTATTTCTTAAATAATGAGTTGTCTATGCCGCAACATATTTTAATTGTGTGAAATGGTCATTACATAAATACAAAGTTATTCTTATAAATATATATATATTTAAAAAAAATTAAATCGCTTTTTGCCTTTTCTTCACATCTTTAGATACCCATACTATTCTTCTATGTATTTGTTTACAGCAAATTAAAACCCTGAAGCATCTAATTTGCAAATAAACAATTTTTATTTTTTCTGTGGAAAAATGCCAAAAAAAAATTTTTTTTAAATAAAATAGTGTAATGAAAATCTTTTAAATAAAATAGTGTAATGAAAATCTTTTTAAATAAAAATAATGTAATGGAGCTAATATCAGTATTTTTTAGATGATGAAATCTCAGTTTAAAGCATTCCAACTTAAATGGAATTTTACACTCTTGCCCAGAATAGGAAATTAAACTACGACGAACGTCAGCTTTGTAGAAAAAAAATCTTTAAAAGTCCTGTTTTAAAAGCATGATTACAAGTTTTTGTACACTCATTGGATATTTTAAAATATATGTCTAGCCATTCCGCTTAGTTCAGTAAAAACGTGTAAAATTTTCTAAAGTTTTAGTACATGAATTTCTCCAGTCTTTTCAGTAATTACATACACTTCCTAAAACAGCCAATAAATAAATGTATTTACTGAACGGTTAAGGATATACATGAAACTCCCGATTTCACATATTTACTGTAACACATATAAGGAAAAACAACAAAGCAATGAATATTCATTCATTACCGTGTGTTACACAAAATATATGAAATGACTCTTACGCAACACAAATTTGAAGGGTACAAAAAAAGTAAATTTGAAAAATATGGCAAAATTCATGATTATTTAAGAATCAATTAGAGACGTTTTATAGAAGTCTTCTTTTGATTATAACGTCTCAGTCAATAAATACTTAATCAGGTTTGTATAATCACAAATATACCTCATCAAATGTCAATAGATTTATGCTTAACAAATTTGAATCAAGAATTATATATATGGTGAATTTTTTCAACCTTCGTAACTTTGTACCTATATACATAGACAGCTAATGACAAAATAGAGATTTACGAATCTCCAGCTGTTTTTTATTTTTTAATAATTGTCTTTCGTAAGCCAAATATCTTTTTTTTTCTACTTTTTTTCTTTATTGTGTAGAGACCTTGGAGCAAGAAACTGTTTAGTTGGTGAAGATTCTACAGTTAAGATTTTCAATTTCCGGATGTCAGAAGTAGGGGATGAGTATGAATTTATCGGTGAATATTCTTATGCTGGAAAATGGACATCACCTGAGTCTATACTGTCAGGTAAATGTGATTATGTATTAATGGTCCACTTCTTATGACGGTATTACCCTATGTTGCTAAATTTCTTATTGTAAAGATTCTGAGATTTTAATTGAAAGCGCTAAAGCTTTTAGTAAACTTTTTTTGTGTTTCTTTTCTTAAATTGCACATCTCAGCCACGTCAATTAAGATTCGAGTTCATATTTTATAATGCACCGGTTAGAAGGTATCTTTGCGACAGCATTAAAAAAATTATTTATGATTGATTGTTGTTTTACGTCCCATTCGAGGATTTTTCACTCATATTGAGACATCACCATATACCGGTGAATTTCTTCAAATTCAGACCTTTACTCAGCACTCAGGGCCCTTGAGCAGTGAAGGTACTTTATCGTGCCATCACCACCGTGACACGGGACCTCGGTTTTTAAGGTGTTATCTGAAGGACCCGCAACTTTCACTTCAAAGTGCCGAGCGCTTGGCGAAGGAACAGTTGCTACGATTTTTTTTATCGACTTAGATCGTGTTTCAATTATTTGGTTAAAAACTTCAGGACGTCTTTGCACTAATGTCATTTTCTACAATCTGCTAAATTCTGTTGTATACCAGTTAAGACAAATAACTGAAACATGCAACGTCACTGGCATTTAGGCGAAATAAACATATGCTCTATGAGTAACTATATTACTTTACCTACATGTATAAAGTTAATATTGTATTTATCGATAGTAAACTAATACATATTAAGAAGATTAAAGATGACATTTCCCATTGCCTTCCTTAGCATAGCTGAAATGTAATTAACCAACCATGTGGATTTATTTTTGTTTTCTTTGCTTAATTACACACGCGCATTAGCAAACGATATTCCTCTGTATTTTTCTGTTAAATATACAGATATTGATTTTTGTTCATGAATAAAACAAACAAAAATGTACATTGTAATTCTATATATTTACATGTATTCTACATAAGGCAAACATAAGATAACGCAATTGTTTCGTTAATTAATTTCAATTTCAAATTAAAATTAATTTCAAACTTTCACCATGCATATTTTTCCATATCATCGTAGGACGGATGATGTTTATTATTTTAAAAAGCAGACAAGTAGCAATATAATCAATTGTCAATCAATTTTGAATATGCAGTACAAATGGTAGGCCTTTCAACTTCCGCTAGAGTTCGACGTTAGGAACGATTGCTCATTACCGGAACTTGTTTACTGCAGGTCCGAGGTAGCTTCATGTAATTGTTATATTATGCATGTCAATGTTTAGCGTTTTCCAAGTGCTCCTTAACTGTCAGCGGAATTTCATGGTTTTAAAATTTAGCACAAATGGCAAACTTATTTATCATGTAGTTACTAGCTGACACTGTACAATACTATATAAGTGAACTTTTTAATGAAAATATAAAGTGAAATTTAACTCCCTTTTTAATTTCAACCTAATCAATTTTTTTTATACTCTGTCGTTCTTCTTTGTGATTAGAAAAAGAATAAGATAATTAATTAATGCATATAATTGCAGAAATATATATCTTTATAGAAGGAGCACAAAATGCACATACAAAAAAACATGACATGGTATTTTCTTCTTCATGACAGCTGTCAAAGAGAATAATAAATCTTGAATATAGTCCTCTCACCCGTTATTCCAGGTAGAATGAAGACATTCTCCTTGTTTCGGTCAAACTTTTTGTTTACCCAACAATACAAGAAACCCTTTTGTATGCATAATAATCCAAAATGAAGCAGCCTGTATGCCAGTTCTATAAACGATAACTCAAAAATCGGCAATTTGTTTATAGTTTTTCACTCTTGAGTAACTTGACCTTAGAACACAAAATCGTACAAACCAATTAATAATAATTCAATTTTTAATGATTTAATTAAATGTAGGAAAAGATTAAATTTAATTTTGTGAATTTCACGTACCTATAAATCTACCTATCAATATTTTTTACCATATGTGCAACTTGAAAAATTAGTTGAAAGGCCTAACTTCAAGTGGCGCCTGAATAAACAACCCCCTTACATTGTTCACGCGTCTAATGTCATTTTCTAGATAACTAGATGTTTAATGTCAATTTTATGCAAATTTTCAAATAATCAATGATATCATTAAGACTCAAATCAATATGTTCCAAATGTATACTATGTACATGTATTAATATTAAAAAAGGGTTTACCTTTAATTTAAAATCCCAAATTGACCATTAACACATTGAAAGATTGATTATTGATTGATTGAATGTTGGTTAACGTCCCGTTCGATATGTCACCAAATACCTGTGAAGGGCTTCAAATTTAGACCTTTACTCGGCTCTCAGGGCCATTGAGCACTGAGGGTTCTTTATCGTGCCAACGCCTGCCGTGACACGGGGCCTCGGTTTTTAAGGTCTCATCCAGAAGACCCGCAACTTTAACTTCAAAGTGCCGAGCGCTTGGCGAAGGAACAGTTGCTACCTATTTTTTGTCGACTTAGGTCAGTCGCGGCCATGATTCAAACACACGACCTTCCGATCACTGAGCGAGCGCTCTACCGACTGAGCTACTGTGACGGTTCACATTAAATGAAAAGAAGGACATATTAATGCCTCTTTTAAGTCTTACAATATATTAGTAAGTTATGTATCCTGCAAATACTACCTGGAAAAGACTCGTTCCTTATAGGAATGAAGGACATTTCGTGGTGTTGAGGTGTTGCTCGTTCTTGACCTTGACCTTGGTATAAAATAGAATTTAGCAATTCTAATAAGTCACTTTGTTAAACCTATACATATCAAAGAAAATTTATATTGAAAAACGAAAAAAGAATTAAAAAATTCAATTTTTTAATTAACTTATTTTTGTTACCGGAAGTTATGATGTAGAAATTGAATATTGCACATCTACATGTTATACTATATCTAGTAAAAAAAAAAAAAAAAAAAAAAAAAAAAAAAACAGCCCTTCTAAAGAATTTGAAAGGAGAAAATTTAGTTTTGAAAGTAATTTCCAAAAATTGAAGCGAAAATTAAACATCAAGAAAAGCATTTGTAATTTTCATAATGATTCATCCCTTCGAAATACCTGACGAATCATACATGAAATATACGGAGAAAACGAATAGCATTCAAGCTCAAAAGTTCATTAAACAATACAAATTAGGGACAGAGCAAAGACGGACATCTAAAGCATCAGAGGTGAGATCAGGTGCCATGAAGGAGTGAGCATCCCCTGCCGACCGGTCACAATCGCCGTGAGGTCCTTGTCAAGATCGAGAGATTGCGGAAAAGTCCGTCGACAATTCAGTGTGTAAATAATGGCCTAACAATTAGTATGAAAAATGTCATTTAGCAGAAACATTAGATATGTACAAAAAATTGTATTACTACTACTACTACTACTACTACTACTAACATTTCTAATAATAAAAGTAATAACAAGGAGGACGTTTTTAAATAAATGTTTGTTTTGTGACTTCATATGTTTTAATTTATTTCATTACTTTGAGTTCTATTCAACAGCCTTTTGGAAAAAATACAGCTTTTTTGAAAAAAAAAAATCAAAACAGATCACATAACGTTGGAAAAAAAATTAGTTTTGATTATTTTGATTATTTTAATCCAGGAAAATTCACATTCTTTTGTGACGTCTGGAGTTTTGGGATCTTAATGTGGGAAATCTTTTCATCTGGACAAATACCTTACAGTGACATGAAAAGATGGGAAGCTGCAGGAAAAGTTGTTGAAGGTAAAAGTGATAGTCGTAAGTTCTGTGTAAGTTTATCTATGTCAAAATTATAATCAACAATGATTTTGTATGATATAGTTCATGCATACAAAACATACCAAATTGAATTTATAAAGTATGTATTTTGGAATGAAAAAAATTCAAATAAGTTTGAAACTGATTTCTTTGTAACGAAAATTTTAAAGCAATTGCAGAAGCAGTTCTAAGTCACCAAGTTTATATGCGTTGGCAAAAATTAAAATCAGAGAGACAAAATTATGAATTGAAAAGAATTTTGCCTCAGTGATACTACAATTTGATTTAAACTTGAAAAATCATTTTTTAAAGATTGGACAAAACTTGCGTAATTGTCGCTTAAATATGACATAATGCTATCTGAAGAAGATTGGACATTAAGCAACTGCAACTTTAAGGTGGCTTAATGGTTGCGTAAAGACATTTACATCTTTCATCCACATTAAGCCACCTTCAAGCCGTCAATAGGTGATCGCTTAAAGGTTATTTTTGTCTAGTGTTTCACACAAAAATTGCAAATTACCTTTATCTGACCACAACATGTGGTATGTAACTTAATTGTGCACACATGGAGCTAATACGAAGTAATTTGTTGTGCAGTAAATTAAATCGAATTAAACAAATTCGCATTAAATTCTCCTTATAAACGCAGTTCAAATTTATTTCACTGTAACTGTTTAACTAATTCGAATTAAATTCTGTTTGTGAACAAGTTATTAATTGCTTGTTTCACTTTTATTGGCCATATCTTTGAAATTGAAGAAAATTGTTTAAGAAATAACTTTCTAGCTTGTTTGGTATGCCAGGGCATACATGTAAAAGACTGTTGGGAAAGTGGATAATGGGCGAATTCATAGATTATTTCACTTTTCCTAATGTAATTAATGTACCTGGCAAACCCGACACACAATACAGTGATTCATTATATTTACATTTATGTGTGAAATAAAAATGTAAATATAATTAAAAATGCTTTCTAAAAGAATTAAAATTCTATTTAAATTTCATAGTCCCTATCCACTGATTCAGAAAGAATGACGTTCGTAAAATTGACATACGAGGGGTTATCAAGAAATTCGTGGACTGATGCGATAAAATTAATACAATGTAGTCTGTGCTTCAAAATTTATAGGGAACATAAAAAAAAAAAGTTTAAGAACTGTTGAAATTTTTAGCTTGATACATTGATAATTTGCCAAATTATTATGAAATGAAAAAGACATTGTATGATCACCCGGCGCTGTCACCATTTAGTTTCATAACGTCCGACAATGTCATTGTTTCTCAGTGTCCGTTCCCTCTACCTCATACACTTATCTTGATGAGATTCTCTGGTGTTAAGTAAGGACTTAAGCCCATCTTGTTAATACGACTTTAAAATTTCATGAACAGCTGCTTTCAATGCCTAAAATATTGTAAATGGATCTATACAAAGGGAAAATCCTTACTTGATTATGCCAGCATATTTTGCTTGTCGGAGTTCAATATCTACCACACATGATCGACGTCATATTCGACGTGACTGACCTTTGACATCCTGACTACAAATCGACATTAACTGTAAATCTCTCATCTCTTGGCATTTAAAAAAAGTACTTTGGATGCATTTTATTTCTCTGCAGCCCGTTTAAACATTTCCTAGGTCTAAACGAGTCTCCAGGGAAGAAACTTTATAGAATGTTGAGAAAAGAAACCCCATCCCCTTTCTGACGTCATTTTCAATCTCTTGATTGTTTGGACATTACATATTGAATTTACGATAAAATTAATCACATGCCTAAATTAAAGGGGCTTTTGGATGACATATGCTCATATTAAAAGAATTTTTTTTTTCAGTTAACTCAGGCAGAATAAACGCCATGTACGAGGTAGCGCCGCCTGGACAAACCATAGCCTGCAAAAACATTAACAATATATTAAAAAATAAAACTTATGATATATGGTTTATTCTATAGATAAAAGATGATGCTAACTAAATGTGTTAAAATTCATTGGTGTACCTAAAACGGTTTTAATTTTATGGCACTAGCCCACGAACTTTTTGATAATCCCCCGTACATACATGTTTAGGTATTTAACCTTTTAATTGGCGAAATTTACATTGATTTGTAAATATCGAGAAATTAACACACTTATCAATAACTAACAAAGAGTTTTCAATGAAAAAAAAAAACACAGTTGGAGTTGTAAAAGTATGCAAATCACTTTGCAAAACACTGAAGTGAAGTTTAAATATATAGCTACAAGTATATCTCATATACAAAGGGAATCTAAATGACAAATTCTATTTTTTTTTTATTTATTGATATTTATTTCGATACAACAATTTATGTTTGTTTTTATATTGTATCCACTTAGTAAGTGCGTTTGGTGTTATGAGAAACTTAATTGCATCCATATCATTTCTTCAAGGGTGTTTTGTATCAAGTTCTTGAAATTGGCTTAGGTTCTAAAGAAGTTGAAATATGCAAAATAAAAAAAAAAATTTACAAGGGAATGACAAGCAAACATGTCGAAATTAGACATTTTTATGTCAAGAAAGTTAGCTAAAACGTTTGGCTCAAGTCATTTAGAACTAATTGTATATAGCAAGCAAAAATAACTTTCAATCAAAATTAAGTTTAATTACCCCGTATTAATAATTATTAATAGCAAAAAAAGTTAATAAACAGGAACCTCCTTTGAACATGCGTGCATATTCTTAACAAATAAAACGCCTCAGCTTTTTGTCTAATTTCAATAACAATTTTTTCAGGATATAGGATGCCTCCTCCTACAGGAACCCCCAAGTCTTGTTATGATGTGATGTTAAAGTGCTGGGAAAAGGAACCCAGTAATCGATACCGTTTTGATGCTGTGGTTGAAAAACTAAATAAAATTATCAAAAAAGTGAAATGACATGGAAAAAGACCCAAAGTATATAGCAAAGAATACCTCACACATTTTTTTGTCTCGAAAGTTTTGTAGCCTTAAACTCAATTTTGATACTCGATGATATTAAAGAAATATGACTACATGTAGTCTTTTATGTTGCTAATTTGTTATTCATATATCTTATGGCTTTTGATATTTCTGTCATATACAAGTATATCAATGATTGTTGTACCCAAACCATACATTGTTTGTCACACTATTTATATGATATATAATTTACATCATGATTGTTGTAATTTTCATTGACGTATGATGTCTGTGTTCTTGAGGAATTAGGCTAAAATTATACTTGTGCTTGTACGATCAGTGTAAACCCCCTATCATGTTAAAACATAGGTCGAATGAATTGTTAGAAGATAAAATTTAAAAAAAAAAAGTTGAAGATAAAATAACAAGCGCAATGTCATAAGTCGTTTTAACAATACAATTAATATAAATTTACAACTTCCTCATTATTCAAATTATATAAAATAAAACGTAAAATATCTTTTCCAAATATTGTTCTTGTTGTTTGACCTTATGACGGAAAACAGGGAAGCTGAGTGATTGTATTTATTGACCAGATAATGACATGGAATTAACAAAAGTATACACAATATACAATTTCCTCTAGTAATGTTAATGTAATACCTGGGATAAGTTCAAATCATGAATAATTTCAACTTGGATAAGTTACTCTGTGCAGATTTGTGGTAATACGAGGTATTGTAATGCAATGATGTCTGATTTTGTGTACCAAGTAGGTGGCGTACACAAGAAGTTTACAAGGCATGTTTTAAATGCTTGCATAAGGCATATAGCGCCAACCATAGACAATGCATTTCACTGAATTATGTTGTACAAGAAAAATTGACAAAAAAAAGTTTTAGGTTGTAACTTAATTTGATGCTTGAACTTATGACGGAAAACTTGGAAACAGAAGATGGGGTATATTGAATCAGATAAAAATTGTGAAATAAATCGGTGAAATGACCATATGTCTTGTCTCTTGTTTAACACTTGATTGTTGTTTCTTTTTCGATTGTTTGTTTGCTGTTTTTATGCTTCTGCAGAAAGAAAAATTCTCAGAAGTCGAACATTATATTTATCACATATTCGTAAATCTTAAAATGTATCTTGATATTAATATTTTTAACATCATTAATTATTTTTCAGTGTAATCAGATTTGGATTCAGACAAATCGAATCGAACTGTTTATATATATATATATATATATATATATATATATATATATATATATATATATATATATATATGGTATTGTTTTAAATACTTAACACCATCGCGTTGTTATTCAGATACCTTTAATTACGATAACACGAATTTACAAGTGAATTGTTGATGAACAGTTTTTGCACGAATTTTTGCAACATTAAAATAAAAGAAGCTTTTGCTATTTCGTGATTGGTATTCCTTGCAAAATTACACAGAAATAAATTTCGCGTATGTACTTTGTAATCCACGGTTTCAACATACAAAATAATTTGCATTATTTCATCTACAGAAGCAGGGCTATGCTGAAGTTGACGTGAAAAAAATACTTCTGAAGCTTACGAATAGTCTTAGTGAATACATCAATTCCCACAAATTTATATGCTGAACCAGGTCTAACAACATTCAGCAGAATGAGCATTTATGGAGAAATTAGTAAAAGAATAGAAAAAGCCAACGAAACTTGGATGATTGCAAAGATTCCAGAAATCATAGATAGGGAAGTAAATTGTATTTTAGAGGAGGCGGCTCATATTAACCAGGAACTAAAAGAAATTAAACAGATGTTAACTGGAATATCGGAATCTAGGAACGAAGATTAGGTTGGGTGATTAATAGAGCATTCTGGGCTGTTGTGATTGGACCCCAGGCTGCAGTGGTAATGTCGACTTTCTGGTTATTTTCTACATTAGCACTGGGGAGTATTGAAATTGCAGCTTCACTTAATCTGATAGAAAGGAAGGATAAAATGGATATCATCAAATATTGTTTTGAAAAGCAGATTAGCGAGAAAAAAGAGAGAAACTTTTAGGTATTATGGAAGAAAGATTTGGTAAACATTTTCATAAAGTTCATGATAACATCTTTAAAAAGCTTTTACCAGAAGAAATTCAAAATCTGCAGAAAAGCTTAGAGGTTGTTCAAAGGTATCGAAACGAATTGACAGAAAATTTTTCTGCCTTGGAATCTTCTTTAACGAAATTAGAACAAGTTAAGCAAGGAGCTGAAGGAATTGTCAACTTTGTATCGTAATCCAATTGTAAACCTACACTGTCACCAGCTCTATCAAGATTTGTACATGAGGAGTATTATATCTACTGGTTTAAAACCCATTTCTGTCACATACAGGCATATTGATTCTGACTCGTTGACATCTATCTATTTAATGTGTGACACTGATGAATCTTAATATTTTTTTTTCATTTAGCGTTAAACAAAATTCACATCGTACCCAACGTCATATCAAACATGTAAAGTCAAATTCAATTAACTCAGAACTATCCTAAAAATGTTCTATATATATATATATATCTCCGAAATTGAAATAAAGTCTCAGTAATCAGATTACAATATTAAACAAATATAAAAAGAAAACACAAGAATCCTCCGTAAAGCTTTAGCGCTTTCATTAAAAATATTCAGAAGCTTTACATTACGTAATGACATGACGTTTCAAAGTCTACAGAAATTTAAAAATGTAAACCTTCGCCATTGATGTCAAGTGCGAGGGAATTGTCGTAAATTCAAGAAATTGTCCCAGTGTGGCGCATTTATTGATCCGAACGTATGCTGTGTTATTTTAGTATTATGGAAGACGAAAAACGGAGAATCAAATGATGGATTCCTGATCTAGGTAGAAGCAAATATACACTTTGAAATTACTGCTATGTCAATATACAAGTTGGACTCAAGGATCCTTACTAGCAAGATCTGCGATTTTGGAAAACAAATGTACTGATGGAAGCAAGTTTACGAGCAGAGCTAATTATGTATTTAGACATGTAATGCAACAAGCGATAACGTTGATACCGTGTACAGACGATACATCTATCTATAAGCTTATTTTTAATGTTTCTATTAAGACAATGTCACTGAATACAAAGTTGAATGTACCATTTTTTTAACTATTACCCTGGGTGAAATTTTACTTTGTTACATTAAGTAAGGAATTTTGAGTACAATTGTTAAAATTAAAACAATGAAATAATATCCAGCTATTATTCAAAATTACGAGTATACATTTATTTTACTAAAATGCACATTACCAAATTTTACAATACTTTATCTAAATTATTTTACAAATCTCAATTCTAAAAGAGTTAAAAACAATGGGTAAAATGAGTAGTTCTTTATTGTTGAAAACAAATTATGTTTAAAATTAAAAATCATTTTAAAGTCAGTTAATATATTTATCTATAGAAGTAGAATTTACAGCATTTTTCAGGTAAAGGTTAAAAAAAACATGTTCTCTTCGCTGATAATTGTCAATATCTCTATTACAACAATGTCACAATTAGTCCGCCCCCAAAATTTGCGCAATTAACACAGATATATGCAAGTTATATAATCATCGCCAAGCTCCTCGACAGAACGGGCGACCTACGTGTCCTAGTTTGATTTTTACAAATATATTCATTTAATATTATTTATTTCCTGTGATTTGCCGACAAAATTCTCATGATTTTTTTTCTTTTGGATATGTTGATTTTCTACTTATAAAAGATGATAAATATATTTAGATATATATCATATATTAAGTGATTCAATACTTGATGTTACTATGTTGTATTTTAGACACTATATATATTTCCTATTATTTTCACCATTTGCACAATATTATAAAAATCCATTAAGAGTTTCTGCACAAAAATCATATTGTGAAGAAAACTAAAGGTATACTTTTATTAATCTTTTTTTTTTTTTTTTTTTAAAAAAATCAAACATTCATAAACATTCTTAAACATAAGACGCATACAGTATTCCAAATTTGCTGATATCATCAATGTTTTAATTGCATTTAAGATTTTTGATATATTAACATGTATTAACCTCAATCTATGCAAAAGAATAAAATTGTGGAATGAAATTAAGTCCTTACTGATCCTGTGACCTTGAAATACCTTTAAAAAACTATTACTAGTTGCTTATGAAAAAGTGTTTTACCGGGAGCAATCTTCAAAGTATTTTTCTTCTACTTAATAAAGCAGCTTAAATGAATAAACTTTTTTTTTTTTTTCATGACCTTAATTTCCCGTCCATAATTTACGGTCAACAATCTTTCAATGAAAACGCATATAAAAGACATTGTCATTATTTTCAGATGAACATAAAATTTATTTTTGTTCATGAAAAATATATTGATGTAATAATGTCTTATGTATTGTAATATATTATGTATTTTTTTTTTACAATATCATGTGAAAGAAAATAATTTCATTGTTTAAATAAAGGAATTAATCCACGAGAAAATATTTCTTCTTGTGTACTTGGTGTTGATTACCTTTCCGCTTAAAATTCCATGTTTATATAACAAAGAGTGAGAAAAAAACGTACGTCATGTGGAGTGTCTACAAACGATTATTTTTTCCTATCAAGAATTATTTAGCAGCAAAACTTGTTTTAGTTCAAGTAAGGCTGAACTGCTTTACAAACATCTAGAAAGTTGAAAAAGAAGAGTATTTTTTTTTTTAATCTGGACTGTTTTAGAATTAAATCAAATCTTCCTTATAACAATGTTTACTTTTCCCAAAGGTGATTGAAATCAATGTATAATATTTCAAGCTTAAAACATTTTTAGAATAACTATTGAAAGCATAACTTCCCTCATTTTTGTTTGTAAAGGTAATAATTAAAGTGAAATACATAACAGTCCTTTTTGTGAATACGTCATAAATTTCTTGTGAAAGCTGTATTATAGAAACATTTCCTAAACTCTTCCTTATAATTAGTGGACACTTGCCTTCGATATTATTTTCAAAGTGCATCATTTAACACGAGATGTTTGTGGAAAATTTCATTTTTCTTTTACTTTGCATTCCTATATGTGGTTTCGGTAAGTATTTATGTGTTGTCATCTCCCTACTAATTTTATTTCTAATTTAAAGTCTTAAAACAAAACAAAAAGATTCTGAATCTTACAAAAAATACTTTTCTATTGTACATATAGAGGATATTCAATGATTTGTAGTTGGATATGGAATTTATTTCACGAGGGGAACAGGATTTTTTGATAATTTCACGAGTGCGAAAATATCCAAAAATCCTGTCTCACGAGTAAAATAAATTCCATATTCAACTACAAAAATTGAATTTTCTGTTTTTTACATTTTCTTTAATTTTCGTTTTGCCTTTGTGAGATTTGTTGTGAGATTGAAATCATTGTAATATGGATTTTAGCAACATATTTGGGAAAAAATTGGCAGTTTTAGTCTTATTCAAGATGATTTAATTACTTTCTCAATCTTATTACAGGCCAGAAATTATATTTTACTTACTTTGATATCCTTTCACACTGTGACGGAATATCACTTTGGTATCCTTTCACACTGTGAGAGAATATCACTTTTATTCAATGAATTAATCACAGTATGTCACTGTTGAAAATGTAATAAATATATATATTTGATTGAAAGGGATTCATTTGTATCCTGTTACCTGTGACCTTCATAAATTGAAAAAGATTTCCATTTCCTGCATTAATTAATTAACTGTATCAATTTATCCCAGATTTATTTTTACCTTTAGGTATTACGAGCTGAGGAAAACAAAACAGTTGTATTGCATTATCAAAGTAATTTGAAAAAAAGCTAAAACAATTTTTGTCAGAGCAGCTCAGCGTTGTATTCCTTCCCATTACCTACGTTATATATCATAGTTTGAAACACGATACTAGCATTGATCTAAACATGAAGAAACACAACCATTTAATGTTCCTTAAATTTGTGTTTTTTTTCTCTCGTTTATCTTCATCACTAATCCATTTGAACCTGGTTAGCCCGGAAACATGTGTTTTAAAACAACTCTTCCCGATTCAGGAAACGGCTGGACTACCAAAACGTACTATTTATAATTGGTTAACATAAATGTAAATTCTGTTCCCACAAATTTCGTCTTGAAGGCGTTCTTTCGTTGTACCCAAGATTCTAAAATGATACTGAACTGAAGGTACGGAATTGCAATAGAAATAATGTCTGCAAACACATCCATATTGTTTTAGACGATTTATCCTCTGGCCATCAAGCCCAGCAATATGAAACATGGCCATGTATTTCCTCAACTTGCCATCTTTATCAAGCACAGAATGCTGTGGATGGAGCCATACAGACTTGTATGAGGACATCAACTCTAGAAGTGATAAGCAGTAATAAATCTAAACATTACACCTGGTGGTATGTCGATCTTGGGGATATAAAGAGTGTGTACAATATCAGGATTCAATTCAAAGATTATGGTGCAATTCATGGTACGTTTGAAAGTTTGTTTGTGCTTTATTGAAACATCTTATCATTCAGCCATACACCTGTTTCATTCAGTTCATTGTAAATAAAGGTTCACGTTTAAAACACATTTTCTAAAGAAATATCTGTACAGATTGAGCGGGGTTTTTTTTCCAGCAACTTCCCAGGTTACAGTTTGTATCATAAATAAATTCAGATATGGAAGATTTCAAACAAAGAAATTTTTTTCTTTTTTAGAGAATAGGCAGAGAGGCCGTTTTGCAGGATTTTCACTGTTCTTGTCTAATTCAACAAGGAAAGAAAATGGTCAGCAGTGTTACAGAAACGGACCTGAATTACCTCCCCTTGATTTTAATACAACATGCATTGGTCATGGGCGTTACGTCATCTATCACAATGAAAGACTGTCAGGAAAACTTTACCCTGAAGGATATGAAGTTAATTCTGTAACGGAGCTTTGTGAAGTGAAAGTTCAAGGTTTGCTTCCGCTATTTATATAATATGCATATTAGCAAAATCAAAAAATAATATTAAAAAAGTGAAGGGTATTTGATAAAGATTTGAATGTTGAAGACATATTTAAAAAAAAAACATATCATTATTATTTAAAAGTCATTAACATAATTCATACTGATTTTCATCAATCATACTGATTTATATCATAACAAAGTATTCTTTCATGTAAAGTATCAGAATATTCATTTTTTAAGGATGCAGTACACAGGGACAATATGGAGTGAACTGTTCACTCAAGTGCCCAGAAAATTGCCAGGAAAAAAGATGTAGTATCCTGAGCGGGTCTTGTCTTGGCTGCAAAAATGGATGGCTCGGTGCTCATTGTGAAAAGGGTATATCCTGCTTCTTTTTATATATTTATTTACAGTCAAACCTTGTTATCTCGAACTCGATGGGACCGAGAAAGAACTTAGAGATATCCGAGGATTCGGGATATAAGGGGTAAAATACTTAAAGAATAAGTGGTTTGGACTTCGAAATCACTTCGACATATTCTTGATATTCGAGATATCAGTTTTCGAGAAACAGAAGTTCAATGTTCGGCAATCTTGCTTTTTGTTTAGCTGCATTTTAATAAGAAATTCTCATGTTTTTTTTTTTTTTTCGTTTTTTGTTTTTTTTTTTTTTTCACGCAGAGTGTCAAGAAAGGTTTTATGGACCTGAATGTAAGAGCATGTGTGTTGGACATTGCAGGATCAATGAAACCTGTAATCACGTGACAGGTTTGTGTACAGAAGGTTGTGGTGCAGGATGGACAGGACAACTCTGTAACCAGGGTAAGGATCACATAAAGGGAAGAAAGAATTGTAGAGAAAATTCAGATTAGAATGGCGGCTTTGGCAAGACCTATTTATTCTCTTTGGATCATCCTAGCCGTCCTGTCCTTTTTAATATTATTAGGCATATGCCAAAGTGAAAAACGATGTAAAAATTTACAACAGGACTTCTTTGGCATATAGGTTTTTAACACATTCAGTGTGCAAGAGCATGCATTTAAAATTGCGACACAATAGATAAAAGCATTTTTCTAAAAAAAAAAAAAAAAAAAAAAAATGTAAAATTTGACCATTAATCATAATGCAAGGTGACTAAATTTGTTCGAAATTATCTTATTCTTTCCTAAGCATGTGTGATTGGACATTATGGGAACAACTGCGTGCAAAAGTGTAGTGAACACTGTCGAAATGGTGCGACTTGCGACAGAATGACAGGAAATTGTGATGGTGGATGTGCAATCGGTTATTATGGGATTCGTTGTAATGATGGTAAAGAAATATTGAAGTAGATATGTTTTTTTATATTGATACCAAATATTCTTGCAGTCATTCTGTGTGAACTTTGAAGCGAAATATAGAATCTAGTTAAATGTACATGTATAAAAATGCAATACGTCTCAAAAACCTGAATGACCATCTTAAACATGTTTATAAATTTAAAAAATGTTCCATTATTTTGTGATATGGAATAAGTAAACCTCGTAAGGCATTATTTATCGAAAATAAGTTAACGATTCTCTTTAGCTGACCGGTATGTTTTTGTAAACATTAAATGGCTTTTCTATGATTTCATAGTGTCTTTGCATTACCAAGAATATTCAAGTTTATGCACATTTTAAAGTTAACTGTATCGAAAAAAAAAACGTTAAGTCATTTTGAGAACTTAATTCATATTGCATTCTATGGTCGGTACAATAAGTTTATTAGGAAGTTCAACACTTCCTATGGTCAAATGTTGACCGAAATTTTTTATACAAATTGGTAGACCATTGTTTTCAAAATAATTTATTAAAGGCATTCTCCGTTTATTTACTTCAATACAAAGGGTTACATCGGGTGTGCGTGTAGACAGATTATGCTTACTTCAACATTAAACCTAGTTGCACCTCTGTGACTTCCAGTTAATTGTCCATCTTTGTTTTTCTCCAAATTTGTATTGCTTTATTGGATTGTAACCTTGGTTATTGTTCGCAATATTCACATTTTATGTTAGCAGCGTGTCTTCACATTAGATCTTACTTATGTGTAAGGCATCTCATACAAATAAATCCCCTCAACAAAAAAGGAATAACAAGCATAACAGAAACGCATACTCTATATATTGTTTCACAGTGTGTCCACCTGGATTCTATGGAGTGAATTGTTCACACAAATGTAATACAAACTGCAGGAATGAATCTGATTGTGATGTTTTCAGCGGACACTGCATCTCAGGTTGCAAAATTGGATACAGAGGACAGTCATGCAATGAAAGTAAGCAGACCTACGGCTCTGAGAATAAAATAAATGATCTACTACTGATTCATTTCATTCGTTAAGCAGGGCCAATATCTGTTCATTTATATACATATTAAGGGACGAATTTTGCGGGAGAATGTCTTAAATTGTTATAGATGATATTTGCTCTATATGTATTTTTCCTGAGGTTCAACTGAAGTCTACAATAATCTTACCCTAAGAATTCATGGTATTTTATAATCTTTATTAATTTTTGCGAAAATGTTAGGTTAAATTAAAGATGATGTTTGCTTGATTGCTTAAGCTTGCCTCTTGTTTAACGTCACATTCGAGAATTTTTCACTTGAATATGGTTACTTGTACAACAAAGATATATTTAAAACCAATATCTTTAAGCATTGTCTCTTAACATTCTTCTAACTTTTGTGCATAGAGTGTTCTGAAGGATTTTATGGACAAAATTGTTCTAAGACGTGCAGCTTGGCATGCAGGAACAATTCATGCCATTATCAAAGTGGCATATGCAAGCATGGATGCAAACCAGGGTATATGGGTAACAATTGTTCTCAAGGTTAGTGTTATTAATAAACAATATCATGTTTGAGATACCATGACATTAAGTTTAAGGAAAGAAAAAGTCTGTAGTTTAAAATAAGTTGGACTGTAATTATATTATTACATTTATTTCAGCATGTTTACCTGGAAGATTCGGAGAAGGCTGTTCACATTTCTGCAGTAATCACTGTAGAAACGCCAACGTCTGTAATCATGTAGATGGATCTTGTAAAAGCGGATGTTCAAGTGGATTTACAGGAATGCAGTGTAACTTACGTAAGTTGCAAAACCTGGAATTTTGAATATGAAGTATCTGATGTAATGTCGTCCCGTTTCGTGACCAAACATAAAAATCTTAACTGAGAATTTAAAGATTTTCCTCCCCTTTTTCTTTCAAAATAATCAAGTTGTAAAATGTTCCAGTATTTCAACAAATCTGGAAATCATCTTCGAATTAGGTACCTTTCCATGTACTTTTGTCATTGCTCACACCTAATATTAATATAATTTCTTGAAGAAAAGAAAAAATCATTCCGATAAGGAACCTTTCCATGTATTTTTATCATTGATCACACATACGATAAATCCATTTTCTTGAAGATAAGAAAATCGTTCCGACAAGTTTAGAATTCTATGACGAAATTTTGAATAAACAAACATAAACAACAACATTTAGCATAGAAAAACTCCAATAGCATATATTGCACAAATGGTCCATCCAAAATAGCTCTTTCATGATCAAGAAATAAATTTATGAAAACTAAAAATGATCTAGCATTTTTTTAACATTAAATAAATCAAATTTAGAATTAATTATGCATATTTTCAAATCAATTATAGCCATATCAAACACCCGGGTTGTACTTGTATGAATTATACCTTTTGTAATTAAAATTTCTAGTTTCTGTTGAAGAAAAGTAAAAATTTTCATTCTATATTTATCAGGTCCGGACGATTTCCAAATATGGAAGTCAAGAACGATAACCGTGGATTGCTATAAATACACAGAATAAACAAGGTGCTAATCCTTCTGACCAATCAAATAACGGCATTTAGACAAACCCATGAAAAAATGAATAAATCACGTGGTTTCAAAGTTTTTTGCTCAAAATTTTTTTTTGGAACAAACTTTTTGTAAACTTTATGCACATTTAGGAATGATGTGGTATATGTGACAATTCTACCGTGAACGAACACGACTTGAAAGCTTAGAATAAATTCTGAGTGGGATTAAAAATCTTTAACTACGAGATAACAACCCCTAAAAGTTTAACTTGTGTTAAGAAATATGATATAAATACGGCGGATTTTTAGTTTTTAGAGCCTGACATGAAAATGTTTTCTATGAGAATATAACATTCTTAATTTTTTTCCTGAGTGTTTATTACAAAATCGTCCATGTAGTTAATTTCTGGTATGCGAGGTAAAGATATGATGATAAAAAGAATTCATGAACATTCCCTTTTCCCTGCGTTTTTCACCTTTCCTTAGGTCCATTTAAAGTGTATATAACATGGTACATGTATTCGGCGCTCATGAAACCCGTGTTATTTTAAAACTACATGTAGTCTATACGATGAATACTTGTGTGCAGTAGATCTATACGCATGGAAACTACGCGTTATCGATGAAAATCGGACAGCTAAGCAAAATTATATTTACTATCATTAAGTATGTTCTGGTAAATGTTATAATTTATTGTACTTAATAATAGCTTGTCGATGCGATCTATTCCTCCGTAAACGACCGCATAGTTACATGCATTAATTTTTTTTTTCTTTCCCGAGATGGAAATTCAGGTTTGTTCACGGCAAATATGTAGAGAATACCTTATTCTTCCAAACTTTCATCTTACTTCTAAAGATTTTTTATCAAAAAATCTTTTTTAAGGAAAAAAAACCCCAAAAGCACGTGTTTTCTTTTTGTTCCTTTGAAATATGTTTTGGGATGTGTAAAAATGCTGTTGTCTGATTGGGCAGAAAAATATATTCGTGTATATGATGTATATATATAGCAACTTTCAGTTGTCGTTCTTGACTTCCATATTTGGAAATCGTCTAGACCTGTTTATGGACATGAAAAATAAATCAAACTGCAAATTTGCAGAATAAACTGATGACTTTGTTAACTTGGAATAAGAAGTTTTATTCAAACTGAATTCATTACTTATCAATATTTTCTATACTATATACTATTGTTAAAGGAGAGGTTTATCATTTTTTAACAGTTTTATATCTACTATAGCTTTTCTTAAATTCCTTTCTTTGCTTAGCACACGTCGTATTATTTTGTTTTCCTTGAATTTTAATTCTTCTACAGTAAAAATGAGGACAATCTCCCTAAACGTGAAGTCTCTTATTAATTTCTACTTTGGAATTCTTCAGTGAAACAATGTGTGTGTTTTTGTTGTGATAAATCAAATCTATTATCTAGGTTACAACGTTTTTTTTTTCTCTAAAGATGTTTCAGGAATCCAAATCTTTTTAGAATTTCCTGTCATTTTTTTTTTTTAAATATTTAAATTCAAAGAATAGGTTTAGGAAGTACGATAATTTGCAAAGAAAGTGGAAACCATTGTATATATAACTTTAACGCTATTCAACATGTATTTATACTATAATCTTCGTATGGTTGAAAAAAATTACAGAGACGCCCTTTTAATTTCAGCTTGCAAACCTGGATTTCATGGTCTTCAGTGTTTGACTGGTTGCTCGGGTAACTGTCTCGAGACTTGTAATCATTTGGACGGATCATGTTTATGTAAGGAAGGTTGGACGGGTTCTCCCTTGTGCAACAAAGGTAAAATATTAACGAATAACATATGTCTACCGGTAATAAACGATTATAATAGAGAATTTGTAAAGAAATATACATTGTAGTTTCGTTTCGTGAATTATTTCACTCCTGCCATACAGAGGCTGGCTGTAACAAATTCCCTGCTTTGATATTATTGACATACACTGTGGAAACATCATTATTCGTGGGAAAAATAATATTCGTCGATTTCCTTTCTCCTCCTTACATACGAATTCATATCCAAGCAAACAAGTACTTTATCAAAGATGCAGTTGAATCCTTTATAAATACAAGGTACCCACTAAATCACTTTCTCAGGAACAGAAAAAAAATGATCGCACACAAACATTGGCACCTGCGTAGTAAAATGATTCTAACGATCTTTTTTTTTTTTTTTTGCAAGAGTGCACACCAGGAAAATATGGAGTAAATTGTGGCCACACTTGTAGTGGAAATTGCGCAGATGGAGATATCTGTAATAACATAAACGGAAGTTGTCCAAAAGGCTGTAAAGATACGTTCACTGGTGACAATTGTGATGGTAAATATTGATACGTTTGCATTATTTCATCTCAATTTTATCCTGCAATTCACAATTATGAGGTATGAGACTGAAAATTCATCTCAAGAACTTATTTGCTTTGTTTTCTTTCTTTTTTTTTTCTCTTTTAAATAATGGCTTTGTAATGTTTCTGCCTTTTTTCACAACATTTATCTTATTCCTTTAGGAAAAAAAGCTATGGTAGCATGATACGTCACTGTACTTTTCCATGTCATGTCAACATAAACTTTGAATATCAAAATCAACTACTAGAGATTTCCAAGGAACACTTGTGTCGCTTGCTTTACAGCATCATTAAACATAATAATAAATCGAAAGGTGGCCAGTTATTAATTTGCTGCTAGCATGATCTTGAATAATAACAACAAAGAAAAAATAAAAAAAAAAACCGATAGAATAGCATTTATCATATAATAATTTAATTTTGTTTGTTTTCTAGCCTCTGATTGGTTAACATCCAGAAAGGAACAAAAATTATTTCTGTCTAACCTGGTTTTGTATGGGGACATACCCCCTGACAACCAGTTGAATCCTCTGTATCCATGCAGTCCTCTCATTCCAGTCCTCAGAATTCATGGAAAATTCCAGATTTAATAAATGTCCATTTAACTTCAAAGATAACTCGATCTTACCACATGTATATAAAAAAACATGACTGCTAGGTCTATGTATCAGTTTTTACCTCCCCAACTTCCCTTCACTTCCTTTACTACGGTTGTATTATTGAGCGGCAAATTTGAAATGATAAAAGGCGACGAAATTTTACACCCATGGTTGTTTAATGATTTTAAAATTAAATTATAGGGAATGACTCTAATTCTTGGCCAAATTATTCGAGTTTTACCTGGTTTGGATCAGTTTAAGCTGTTTTTAATCCGATTCGCGGATTATAAAGCGTAAACTGACCCAAACCAGGTTAAACCCGAATAATTTGGCCAAGAATTAGAGTCATTCCTAAAAAATCTGACATTTAAATAGAAATATACTCCAGATCATTAAGTAAATCCAGGCCTGTCATTAAATAGAAAATAAACATAATTTTACACCTCATCGAGCTCTTTCCTTAATGATGCTACAAAGAATAAAGAATAATTATTAAAAAACAAGGCATGTAAAGTATTAAAACATTGAAAAAAAATCCTCATCTTTGAAAAACAATTCTACATTGAAAAAGAGACATGTTTAAACTGATGTACACAATATAAAGTGCCATATTTGAACTCAGATTGCCACGAACTATTGTATTATTCAATGGTTATATAAGTAACATCATTAAAGAAACAATAAATCGAAGGGTGATCAGTTTTTTTATTTGCTACTATTATTGTCATTTTTTCTCATCTCTTATTACATTTGGTGCCATGCCCTGGAAATGACAGGTGATATATAAAAGCAAAGAAAAAATCCACAAATATTAAGACCTATAAAATAGCATATATCACAAAAGTCTGACATTCAAATAGAACTATGAACCCCCAGCCTTCAAAGCTTAAGTGAATAATAAAATTGAAATTGTATATTATATATGTATAGAAATATTTATTTTTCATTTTAAAACATGTTAAATACGTTTTGAATCCAACTATTCTCCAAAAGAGATTTCAGTCTTTCTTTATTGCAGTATTCTACAAGGATCATTTTTGTATACCAATCTTGATGTATTTTCATAGTATTTAAATTTCAGTTTCTGTGGTCACTGTATAGTTTCAAAATACAGTGTCATGAGCTCATAAACAAGATACTATCATAAAAACCCTGCCTCACAAAATCAAAAGAGATCAACCGTTTGGAGTATTTTGCAAAGTAGGTCAAAGGTCAAGGTAAAGTGGATTGTAATGCTGGAAATTTTTATGATGTTTTTTGTCAAACAGTGCACATGCTTAAAGGCAAAATGTACCTCTTAAATTATAAATATATATATATATATATATATATATACCGTGTATAGGCACAATGAACTAGCTTTAAGGTCAAATTCAGAGGCCACGATGTCGGTATCCATGGTAATTTACAAAAGCCAAAATGCCAAGCAGCATATTTGCAAAAATATCAAATCCATATCTTTTACAGTTGTAGACATATAGGGTGTGACAGACGAACAAACGGACTGACGCAGGTTAAAGTGATCTCTAAGTGTCGCTCAGCTCTGGCTCTGGGGCCATAAAACTTGGACGAGCTCACTTTGGATCTGTCTCATTTTTACCAAAAGAATTAATAGTGGAAAAGTGAGACTAAGATCAAAAGTGAGCTTGTCTAAGTTTTATGGCCCCGGGGCCAGCATTAGACACGAAAATTAAGCCCTGCGTGAAAAAAGTGATTTTACACTATACAAAGCTCAGTCTGCAATTTTTATGAACGATAAACTTTGTAACCTTTATTAGTTTTCGCCACTTAATATATATTTATATAATTTCGAGGAGCATCATTATCCACATGCCCAAGTATTTTATTTGAGTGTGAAAGAAAATTTTATAAATAGTTGGTAAAAGCCTTCCAAAAATAGAAGACAGCAAAAGAAGATGAATTAAAAAAAAAAGAAAAGAAAAGAAAAAATAAATACACCTAGGATAACATTGAGCTTTAAATATCTGAAGACCGCAGCAATATACCTTCATCACCTGCATACGGGGTTTATATCTCTGATGTTTTGGAGGTCCTTTTTTGCTCTGCTCCTATTTTATGTCGTTTAATGGACTTTTGAGCTAGAATACTGTTTGTTATCTCCATATATTTAAGAAATAACTGTCTAATATTTTGGTTTCATGATGTGATCAATCGATTGGCTTGCGTGATAATTTCCATAAACGCCTTCGGCGTTTATGGATAAAATTATCACGCAACCCAATCGATTGATCATCATCATGAAACCAAAAAATCTGACAGTTATTCCTTATATTTACATGCTCTTGATTCTGCAAATTCATGTGCTACAAGACCCGCTTCTGTCTCTATTTGTCCCGCCCCGCACATGATTTTTTTTTTTCACCACGCCTATCGATGAACCAGTAGATTTATGTAGAAATAAAGTATTTTTACTATTTGAAATTTTATCTCGGACAAAAGTACATTGGAAATGTAAATATTTCATCATAAAAATATTTTTTTTTTAATATATTGTTTTCAACAAACGTATAAATAAGTAAATAAATATATGAAATAGAATAAAAATTGAAATCGGAGACATGTTTCCTAAGAATAGACAATGAATTAACAACGGTTATCTGTACCTGAATGGTTCTTGCAACACTAATCAACCACTAAATGCATTACATAATACTAATTTTCTTATAGAAAACGAGGACAGGTGAGTATATTTACAATACAAGAAAAGAAAGTAAATTGTATATTTACCTTTAGAGAAAAGTTCCGAGTCAGATCAACTACAATAAATATTCGTAAAGAAATGAAATATATAAACATCATTTTTGGTGTTTTAGAATGTATAAAAGGCTATTACGGGGTGAAGTGCTGTCATGAGTGTAGCTGGAACTGTGCTTTTAATGATTCATGCAATCAAACTGACGGAAGTTGCCCACGAGGTTGTAATGCTGGATACATTGGATATAAATGCGATGAAGGTAAATCGTTTGAATTTTGATTTTGAAATTTTATCTATATTTTAATTCGTGTTCATTCTTCGAATATCCCCCGCCTTTTTTTTTAATCTGAACATTTTTTTTAATTCAGTTTTATCTGACTTGTATCAAGCATTAGACGTTTTTGGAACATAATGAATACGTTCGTTTGTTCCAAAGAATTTCACATAAAATAAATATATAATTTATTTTTAATTTGATATTACAGTGCGTTTGGACTCTAAAATGACTTTCCCTTTGAGAATATGCAACAGTTTGAATCAATGTAACATGACCGTAAATGTGTTTATTGCTGTCATCGGCATTGTTGTGTTGGCATTACTTATATCAATTCCAATACGGTAATGAAATCCATTGAAAGAAAAGTGTGTAATTTCTCTCATTACTTGATTTATATGTACTACGTTTCCTTTATAATTTGAGATCTATGACTGCAAAGTTGAATGTTATTATATTCTGTTCTGCAGGAGATTGAGCATGTACCAAAGAAAACCAAATTATGAAAGATACGAAGAAACCATGGGATCGTCATCAAACACCTTAACAGATAATGTAGTAGACGAAAACCAAGGTTATCAAGAGATAGAAATCAAGACAAATAATGCCTATGAACCCATATTTTTTGATAACAAAAAGAGATAGCACTTGAAAAGTTTTAGTTTTGATTTGCGGATTCATTATCCAACTAGACCCCCCTTTTTTTCTTTTCTTTTTTTTTTTTAATAAAATAAGACAATGTTGTTCTAACCATCACTATGTGAGATTTATCGATTTCAATAATGAACTGTGCTTGTGTAGTGCAGGTTTTTTTTTATCCTTCCTAATTTGGATAAAAAGAATCTTAAATTATTTATTAAGCAAGAGTTAACCTTTCTTTGGTGAAAAAAATATTGTGTATTTAAAGGATAAAAGGAATCAATTTAAAATGTTTATGAAAGTAGATAAACTAATCATAGCTTACTCTTAAGAAGGTAGTTTATTTGATGTTTCTGCAATGTGTAGGACCATTTCTTTTTAGACACGTTTATAAAACTTTTACAGATTTTTCTCGTGCGTATTATTTATGTACAACATTTTATTATATTTTCAACAGTGAAATACTGTGATTTATTTATTGAATAAAAGTAATATTCTCTCACAGTGTGATAAGGATACCAAAATGATATTCTCTCACAGTGTGAAAGGATATCAAAGGAAGTAAAAAATAATTTCTGGCCTGTCATAAGATAGAGCTAGTAACTAACCATCTTGATAGAGCTAAAACGGCAAATTTCTTCCCAAATATGTTGCTAAAATCCATTTTATGTAATGTTTTCAATCTCACAACTGCTATGACGTCTCAACCGCTCAACTATGACGTCAAGCCTATGACACTGTGTTAAGAAAAGACAGAGGCAAAGGGAAAATGAAAGAAAATGTAATAAACAGGAAATTCAATGTTTTGTAGATGAATATGGAATTTATTTCACTCGTGAGACAGGATTTTTTAAATATTTTCACTCGTGCTTCGCACTCGTGAAAATATAAAAAAAATCCTGTCCCACTCGTGAAATAAATTCCATATTCATCTATAAAGCATTGAATATCCTCTATATATTTTGATATTTTTGGTGAAAATATATACACATGTATGTGACAATGTAAATTTATACTAACTTCTTTTCAATTTTTCGAAAAAAAAAAAAAAAACTTATTACAGAATATCTTAAATAAATGTCAAGCATATGTTTATTACATTGTATGCTCCAATAATGAAACTGTGCTTTTATGTAAGCAAAGGAAATTAAAACACGAAAATTCTATTTAGCATTTAGATTTTTAATGATGCAGAATATTAAATGAAATGTGTTTTGATCTATAAACGTGTTATTACTTTTCGAAACTATCAAACAAAAGAGGAATACACAAACAGGAAAATGCTTTGTTAACAAAAGATATACTTGTTGGTTGACTTCTCCTGTATTGAAATTGATTTCGAGTCTTTTATTAAAGGGTTTATCAGGATATTATTATGTGTCAAAATGGCCCAGAGCATGGCGTACAGTTTTGGGGTCTCATTGTGGGTTTTTGCGTAGAATGTTACATAAGGGAATAGGGTCATACTGATAAAGATTGAAGAAAGTGTGAGGAATCCTCATAACATTAGTTGTGAATTAAATACATTTTTACAATTTTTTGAATTTAAGAAAAATCATTATTTTTAATTTCTGTGCTATTTGTTGAGAAATTATACATACCAAAAGGCACTTAACATCCAACGATGTTGAAGAGGAAACAAGGCATATTTTGCTTAAAAAGTTGTATCTTGTTTGATTTTGTAACGAACATTAACTTAAAATTTTACAGTGAAAATGTAAATCATCTGTAAAACTCTGACATATTCAAAAAAGGAATTTTTACATGTCTTTGATACGTTTAAAAATATATTTAGTTGCGTATCATAAAAATAATTTTAAAAAAAATTCAGGCTTTACAACGATTGGTACATGTATCTCAGTGATATAGATGAAAATTATGCTATTATACAATTTGATACAACATATTATTTAGTGCATTATGACCTTATTGGATATGTACATAAGGTGTATCCAATTATCGATATTCATTTTGAATAAAAACATGCCTCATGTATTTTTCTTTTTTCGTGATAATGTTTAAAAGCATAAGGAACGAAATTTTGTGTAAGAAAAAACGATTTCAGCATTATTTTTAGCCGATTTGGCCAATTGATCCAGTTTTTCAGCATGGGAGAGGAGAGTTGGAGGTTAAAACGACCCCATGCATGCAGGTTCTCGCATTTTTTGCGAATTAAATACAAAAACGAAAAGTTTCATTATTTATGTTTAAATTCTCATAGCATAATTCAAAGTCAGTAGCCGCTCACATCAGGCTGATCTGGGATTTTATGGAAAAGGGGGGGGGGGGGGGTGGCGTATTCGCCACAAAGACATTTAGGTAGCTCTCAAAACCCCCTACACTAACCTCGCACCCATTTACACTTTTGCTTTAATACGTAACATTCTGTAGCCACTTTTACATTTAATTTTCTATTTAATTTTTTGGGGGACAACTTTCGTTGATTTTAAGACTTTCCTAAGTCTGAATCCCCTGGACCACCACCCTTCTGGATCCGCCCTCTTAATTTGTCAAAGACATTTATTCAAACTTTATTATAAATTACATTATTATTTAGGGAAAAAGATCGTTGAATTATTCACGTCGGCATTTTCTTTCAGAAGGAGCTTTGTAAACTTCACTAACGGGTGTTAGTGAAACTTAAAAAGTGCTCTCTGGTAGAGATCGTCTCGGTCAACTGCACCCAGACAAAGGAGGAGACACCTTTATCCTTAGCAGCCATACTGAACCCCCTAATCAAAATTATAAATAAATGACAATTGCAAAATAAACTTGCAACTTTTAGAATATAATAAAATAAATATTTACTGAACAACACAGGCATCATGCATGTAACATCATAAACATATAAGCTTTGTTAGAGCCTGTACTTTGCGTTTTATTTTATATTTTATTCTATCGACCTTTCTTATCAACTTTTCTTATTTTACTAACTAGATTTAATGATTTACTTGACATTTGAAATAATGTAGAATTTGAAAATAAAATAAAACATTTTTACAAATTTATTGCGAATTTTTTCATGCTTATAACTATATAATTACAAGCCAACCTGAATTCCCACAGCATACATGTAATTGTATAATTTAATGATGGACAGACGAACATAGAAACAAGAGGCCCATGGGCCAAAACGCTCCACTAAGTAACTTTAGTCCTGCCGTTCTTCACCAGATTTTCCTCGTTGTAATACCTATTGTGGCCCCACCCTACCCCAGGGGTTCATGATTTGAACAATTTAGATTCTACACTACCCCAGGATGCTTCCACATAAGTTTCGGCTTTTCTGGCCCAGGGGTTTTTGAGAAGAAGATATCAGAGATTTTTTTATATATATTTCAATGTAACATTTAGATCCCCTTTTGTGGTCCCACCTGACCCTTAGGGGTCATGATTTGAACAATTTAGATTCTACACTTCCCCAGGGTGCTTCCACATGAGTTTCAGCTTTTCTGGCCCAGAGGTTCTTGAGAAGTAGATTTTTAAAGATTTTTTCTATATATTTCAATGAAAAACTTGGATTCCCAATTGTGAACCCATCCTACCCCCAGGGGTCATGATTTGATCAATGTAGAATCTACACTACCCCAGAATGCTTCCACATAAGTTTTAGATTTTCTGGCCCAGTGGTTCTTGAGATGAAAGATGAGGATTTTTAAAGATTTTTTTTCTATATATTTCAATGTTAAACTTGGATTCCCTTTTTTTGCCCCACCCTATCCCCAGGGGTCATGATTTAAACAATGTAGAATCTACACTACCCAGAATGTTTCCACATAAGTTTCAGATTTTCTGGACCAGTGGTTCTTAAGATGAAGATTTTTAAAGATTTTTTTTCTATATGTTTCAATGTTAAACTTGGATTCCCTTTTGTGGCGCCACCCTACCCCTGGTCATGATTTGAACAATTTAGAGTCTACTCTAAGCCAGGATGCGTCCACATAAGTTTCAGTTTTTCTGGCCTAGTGGTTCTTGAGAAGATTTTTTAATGACCCCACCTTATTTTTGTCTTTTCTTGATTATCTCCCCTTATAAGGGGATTTGGCCCTTCATTTGGACAAGGATGCTTTCTACAAACTTTGGTTAAAATTGGCTCAGTGGTTCTTGAGAAGAAGTTGAAAATGTGAAAAGTTGACAGACGGACGACGGACAACGGGTTATCAGAAAAGTTCAATTGAGCTTTCAGTTCAGGTGAGCTAAAAAAGAATGTAGCAGGCGAAGCCAGCTGTCTCTCTCTCTCTCTCTCTCTCTCTCTCTCTCTCTCTCTCTCTCGATCTATTCCTTGCATGCCTTTACAAATCATATTAGCCAATTTGATAATTAACATCGGGATCGAAATTCTTTAAATGAAAACGAAAGTAAAACCAAGCTTCAAAATCTGAAATATAATCCAATATGAATATTTATGCCGCAGAATAGAATACACATGTAAAATACATTTAAGATACTTTTCAAAAGAGTTTCAACTGACGCACCAAGCACTGAGTAAAATGAATTTA